CACCCCCCGAGGAGCGAGCTCACCGGAGAGGCTGAGCAGCTCCCCAGGTTCATGCAGCTGGTGGAGGCGGGGGGCGGGGAGGCACCCCTGACCTGGGCACCCGCCCCCAGAGGCCTTGCTGCTCACCTTGGCTGGGCTGGGGTCTCGGCCCAGCCCCCCGGCCCCCTGGCACCCCAAGAGCACGGGCCCCTCTGCTGTGCTCTGTGCGCCCTGGGGCCTGGCAGGGGACACGGTGCTAGATCCAGGGAGCGGGGCTGACCTCCCGTCCCCAGCGGGCCCGTGCCAGCCCCGAGGCCCCCGGGGCGCCCCCGCCAACCCGCAGAGCAGAGCCCCGCCTGCGGCGAGCTGGCCCCGGACCAGGATGGGGCGGCTCGGGGGGCCCTCCGAGGCTCCGAGGCTCCGAGGCTCGTCAGCCCGTCAGTGGACAGGACGCGGCTCCCGGCGAGGCTGACGTCGCGCGGGGCCCCCAGCAGCAGGGGAGCCTGGCGTGGCCCCACCGCCCGCTTGGCTTCGCAGGGTCGAGGGGAACCGCAGTCCCTCCTTGGAGCCGACCCCCCGAAGTCCCCACGTCCACCTGCCCCTCCGCGGTGCCCCACCCTCCTGGGGCCCGGGCAGGGCTGTCCGGAGAATCGGGGAGAGGGAGCCCGGCCCCCCGCGGTTGCCGTCCTGCCTCGTCGGGCTGCACACGGGGCAGAGGGCCGTGCGGGGGGCCGTGGGTTCCCCTCGTTCTGTCCCGCGGCCCCCGTCAGGGGTCCCGGCCTCCACGTGGCCGTGGGGGCACGCAGGGGCCTCGGCGACAGCGCGGACGCCCGGGCAGCGGCTGCGGGAGGCCCGGGCGCTGGCGTCTCTGGGCCACGCCTGCAGCTCGGGCCGCGGGCCGCAGCGCCACCGTGTTATTTCAAGTCTGCGGATTCGGGTTGGCCGGAGCATAAAGGAGACTTTCTTGGCTGTGCTCTGGCTTCTGCTGGCTTCCCCGCCCTGTGGCTTGGACCGCGCAGCCTGACGGGGCTCCCCCCCTCCGCGCCAGGCCTCGGGCCGTGGGGGCTGGGGGCCTCGGGCCGCGCGGGGCTCCAAGGCTACCTCGGCCTCCCCTCCCGAGACCTTAAGCAAACGCGAAACGAGGACCCCCAGGGCACCCAGGACCCACTCGTGCAAGACGCCGCCTCCATACGCAGGACCCAGCAGCACCGACCCCGGGCCTGGGGCCACGGCCGTGAGCTCTGACCACAGCGGTCCTCAGAGCCGCAGCCTGGGACCCCCCCGACAGAGAACTGCCCCCCCATCTGAGCTCATCAGCCCCTGCGCCACCCACTGCCCCCTGGACCCAGGAACCCCGCTCCCCGGGCACCGGCCCCCCGGCCAGACTCCGGGCCTCTACCGCCCGCCCCAGAGAGGCCGCCCAGGGGCCAGCGGGCACCCGGGGGAACCCGGCCCCCTCGGCTGCCCAAGTCCTGGGAGGACCCCCGGCTCCTTCCGCCTCAACGCGGGGCCTCCTAAAGCAGAACTCCCACCGCACACGGAGCCAGGACCCCCCAGCATTGGACACCCCCCTTCCGGCCCCCACCGCAGGGCTCATGGACAGGAACCAATGCTACGCGGCCCCGCGGCCCCTCCCCCTCCGGGCCCCCTCGTCCTAGGAGCAGGGGGAGGTCTGGCGGCCTGGCCTTGGGGAGAGGCGGGCTCCTCCTGCAGCCTCTGTGGAGGAAGGGCTGCTCCGTCCCCAAGGCCGCGGCGGCATGAGGGGTCTCCCCGCGCACCCTCCCCGACCCCAGCCTCGGCCCGCTGGCCCCCCCAGCCCGGGGACAGCAGACATCCTGCGAGTCGGACCTCTCTCGCCGGGGCGGGGGGCTGTGGCCAGGGGCGCCCGGGGCTCACACAGCCCCCGGGGGTGCAGGAGGCGCCAGGAAGGAGGGCGGGAGCCCGCGGGGTGGGGGCAGCCCTGGGAGAGCAGCCGCTCCCCCCCGAAGGGACGGTGGAGACTGGCCCTGGGGGAATAAGGGCGTGGACGCCACGGAGGCCCCAACACCCCACCTGGGTGGTCAGGAGGGAAGGGGGGCCTCAGACCCAGGAACTACCCCAACATGCACACAGATGCACACGCGTGTGCATGCAGTATACACAGGTGTACTCCCAGGCACACACGTGTGTGCACACAGAAGCATTCACGTGTGTACACATATGTAGGACACAGATGCCATATGCACATGCATGCACACACGCACATTCATGCATGCAGTGTACACGGGCGTGCTCCGAGGCACACATATGTGTGTGCAGATAGAAGCATTCATGAGTATACATGTGTGTAGGACACAGGCACCTATGTACATGCATCCACATGCATACACAGACACACATGCACACACATGCATTATGCAGTGTACACGGATGTGTTCCCAGCCACATACATGTGTGTGCACACAGAAGCATTCATGTGTGTACACGTGTGTAGGACACAGAAGCCTATGTACACGCATGCACACACACACATGCATCCATCCTGGGCATGCTCCCAGGTACACACTCGTGTGCACACAGAAGCATTCATGAATATACATGCATGTAGGACACAGGTGCCATATGCACACGCATGCACATGCTCCAAGCAGCAGGGAAGCAGCCCCCGCAGCGCAGGGGGAAGGACAGCAGTGAGTCCTACAGAACCGCTGACTGCACCTTAAATTATCCGTGTGTCAAGTCACAAGAGACGCCCGAGCTCTGGCTTGTGGGCCAGAAGGAGGCGTGCGGCCCGGCACGTCGGTCCCCGCCCAGCCCAAGTCAGGCTCTCAGCGTACCTGGGGCCCCCGGGGCGTGGCGGTCCCACGCCATGACAACGTGAGCCCTGGCCTCGATGAATGGCCGTCTCCTGGGTCTGTCCCCAGGTCCTCAACTCCGCGTGGAGCCTCGCTGACCCCCAATGGGAGTCTGGGAGCCCCTCAGCCATGCCCTCCCTGGGTGCAGGGCCGCCCCCCTCGAGGGCACCAGGGCGTTCATCGCCGCAGAAGACGCCCAGAGGACTCCTACTCCCCACCCCCTGCAGCCCAGGGGCTGGTCTCTGCCCTCCCGGAGGGTCCTGCCTGCCTGCGACCTGGAGGGGGCGGCTGCTGGGGCAGGAAGCCCGAGGAGCAGGGTAGGCCCAGCGACGCCCACAGGTAAGAGGCAGGTGCGCCCGGGACACCCACTGTCCTCCCCAGGGCCACACGCCTGGCTGGGCCCAAGCCCACTGGCTCCTCGTCGGCCCCTCCTGAGGCGTCCCATCGTCACCCTGGCCCGGGGCCGGCGGGGCCCTCACTCAGCATTACCCTGTATGTCCCTCCACCTGACAAGGTGTGGACACGGGGGGCTGATCGCTGTACAAGGAGCTGTTCTCCGTTCCAGATAGTGACCCGTGTGCTTACAAGCAGGGCAAGGGACAGCAGGCCCTCTCCGACCCTGACCACCTCCCCTGGGATGGGCAGGGAGTGGGAGAACCTTCCAGAACCCTCCCTGCCACGGGGGCGGGGGCCTTGCCCTGGAGCATCGGGGGGATGGGCTCGGGGCTCCCAGCAGCAGCCAGCCGGGGACGGGGCCCATATCGCCCTGCCAGCCTGTCCCCTCGGGGGTCCCAGCACGAGGCCAGTCTCTCCCGGGCCGGGCAGCCGTCCCCACCTAGGCCAGGGCCGGCTGTGCTGGGGGCGGGGGTGGGGACAGATGCGAGGCAGCAGGACCGCCACCCACACTCCTGAGCAGACTTCCAGGATCCAGGGGGCAGGAGCACCAAGGCCAGGCCCTGAGCTCCCAGAATAGCCCGGGGTGCGGCCCGCGGCCAGGGCTGGCAGCTGACTTCACTCCGCAGGCATCCCCGGCAGCCCGGCTGTCTGCCCGGCCACACCTGCTGGGCCTCAGAGCGGGCTCCAGCCCTCGGGAGACGCGTCAGAGCAGCCGCGGGGCCGCCCACAGCCTCACCCCTGCCTGGGGCTGGGAGGGGCCCTCGGGGGCCGGGGGGCCGCAGGCACCGCACCCCACCTGCCCTGCATTGCCCAGCGCTGGGCCCGGGCAGCCCGTCTGCACGCCCGTCTGGTCCCAAAGCCGAGGAGGGGAGGATGTGGCCCCGAGGAGGCCACCGTGCAGGAGGGAGCGTGGCCCCGGCCCCCAAGACAGAGGGCCACCCCGCTTTCTTGCAGGTGGGGTCTCTGTGGGCTCAGGACAGAAATTTTAAGCCTAATTTAAAAAGCAAGCATGGGAATCCCTGGGGGGCTCAGCGGTGGAGCGTGTCCTTTTGGCCCAGGGCGTGATCCTGGAGTCCCGGCATCGGGTCCCACACCGGGTCCCCACGTGAAGCCTGCTTCTCCCTCTGCCTGAGGGGGCGTGTGTGCCAGGGAAGCTATGCCTGACAGCCAAGTGGCAGTGCAAAGGCCCTGGGGCAGCCCTGTGCCCAGACCATCCAAGGACGGCCAAGAGGTCAGCGTGGCCACAGGTGCGGAAACCGGGCCAGGAGGGAGCATGGGGGCGGGGGACACAGTGGGGTGGCGGAGGGAGGACTTTGCTTCCTTCTCTGATGGCGAAGCGACTGGGGGTAGCTGCTGAGAAGCAGTCAGGCCCGGGACACGTTTTGCGACAAAACTGGATGGGGGTGGGGCGGGGGGGTGTGAGGGCGACCCCAGGCTGGGGGGGACCCGTGCTGATGACACATGTGTGCAGGGCCGGCCTTGGCCTGGCTTGGCCTCTGCCTGTCAGCTGCTTCCCCAATTCTCTGGTGCTCTAGCAGGTGGTCTCTGCAGAAGCTTCTGGAAGCTGGTGCGGCAGCAGCTGTCTTTGCAGGAATTAGAAGAGCCTCCCTCCTCCGCCTGTCGGCCCCATGATTGCTGGCCCAGGGGCAGCCTGCGGGTGTCCGGGGAGGCCAGGCTCACAGGGACTGGCCCGGGCGCTGGTGCGGGGGGGGAAGGGGGCGGGGCCGGAGGCAGGGGGCCGTGGGCTCAGGGGGGGCGTGAGGAGCAGGAGTGCAGGTGCGGCCCCCGGGGACCCCGCTCTGGACTCCCCCCAGGAACACCGAGGCCTCCCCTCGGATGGCTCCCCCGTCCCTTCCCACCGGGTCCTCACGGCCAGCGTCAGTGTCCGGCCCACTGCGTCCCAGGGTCTGCACCCACTTTGCCTTCGGAGCCAGGCCTCTGGGTCCACGCCCAGCACCCACAGGCTCTCTCGCTCTCTCGCGCTCTCTCCAGCTCCCCTGCTCCCTCAGCCAAGCCTGCCCCCCCCCCCCGCGCGGCCATGTGCCCAGGCCCCTGAGGACCAAGCCCAGCAGATGTCACGGGCATCCCGCAGGACGGGCATCCGGGACCACCCCAGCCGGTCCCTCCATCGTGACCTCCAGGGGATCCCTTCACCCCCGCCCCCGGCCCCTGCGTGTCTGCCCTCCGCCCTGGGCTGGCGGAGTCTCTGGTCTCACTATGCAGGGGACACAAGGGACAGAGGCCTCGGGAGGGAGCCCAGAGGGGCACGGGGGCCTGAGGGTGCACCCGGCCGACCCGAGGGGGCCCGCACGTCCACCCGGGAGCCGCAAGGTGCTGCGCCCGCTGGAGACGTCCAACGCTGTCCCGTTGCCACCAGGGCAATCTAGTCCTCGTGGTCACACCCCGAGCCCTGAGCGTCTCGTGTGTGCAGAAGAGCTCCTAGGACACACGCATTTTAACAAAATCATAAACGCCGTCCGTGGCTTGAGAAATCCGGTAGCCTCCGTCCTAAGGCAGGAGGATGTAGCTCAAGGACGTCCTGCGCCCGGACGGAGGGAAGACGCGAAGCTCCCAGGCGCCCTGAGGGGCGGTGGCCCAGGGCGCCTACGCTCACCCCACGACACTCGGCGGGCGCACACTCACACGCAGTCGCACGCACCCACACACTCACACTCACGCGCACTCACACGCACTCCGCCGGGGCAGTGGGAGCAGCGGGCGGCGTCCCGGAGCCCTCATCCCGCGTCCTGTGGGAGCCTCTGCGGGGCCCCCGCCCCGACCTCGTGGCCGAAGCGCCCGGAGCCCAGCACCCGCGGCAGGAGCCCCTGACCGGCCCCAGGCTCCCTTCTCGGTTCCCGCCGCCCGCGGGGCCCCGGGGGCTCAGACCAGCCCCGCCAGGCCTCCAGGCTGCGAGCGCGCCGGGCCCGGGGAGGCCTGCAGGCCCCTCCTCACCCCTGGGCCCCGTCGGCCTCTGCAGCCCGGCCCCAGCGGCCCCCGCCCTCCCCACGGTCACGGACGTGCCCCCGGGCCCGAGGCTCCAGCGACGGCAGAGGTGACCGCGAGGCCATCGCCCTGTGCGGGCGGCCGGCGTGTGGCCCCGGCGAGGTCAGGTGGCGCCGCTCGCCGGCCGGGGTCCGGGTGGGGGGGAGGCGGCCGGCGGCCCGGAGAGCCAGGGCGGAGAAGGGCCCGCGATGCCGGCGGCCTGCGGCCCAGGTGCCGGCGTTCACCGGCGGATCGGGCCTCGGCTCCGGGGGCGCAGGAGGGGCCGGGGTCCCAGACGCGCGGCCCCCAGGGCTCTGCTGGAGACGGCAGGTCGGGGTCCGGGGAGGCCGCGGCCGGGTGCTCCGTCTCAGCGCCCGGGCCCAGGGTCCCGAGGACCCCAAGGGGCCCAGACCTGCCCCTGAGACCCCGGGAACAGCTTTAAGGGGAAAAGACAATCCCCGCGGCTCCGGTTGGCTTCAGGCGGCTTCACCGTAACATTGAATCGCACCTGGAGACGGCGGGAGTCCACGATCTCAGCCCAGCTCTGCTCCCGGCGCCGAGGGGACCGCCGCCGCCCACCCTCGTCACGGGGTCTCCAATCCGCCGTGCCCGTGCCCGCAGCTGCCCTGGCCCGTGGCTCAGTTTCCCCCACTCATCTTGCAGACAGCGGGGCGAGGAGGACGTGAAAGTGGGGGGAGCCCTGCCCTCCGGGCCTCCTGCCTCACCCCCAACCACTCCCCACTCCTCCACGCCCCGTTGCCGGCTGTGAGCCACCAGCTGCGAGGACCGCGTGGCCACGTGTCCTGGTGCCGTACCCATGGTCGATGTCTCCGGGGATCGAAGATGACGCCAACTCGAGGGTCTGCAATTCCAGGTGACGGCGCAAAACCAGCTCCCCGAGCGGCTTCCCCAGTTCCCGCCGCGTCCTCGTGCTGTCCCCACGGCAGCTGCGCCCACCGGCGGCCGTCGTGGTAACTCGCTGTGTGCCCTGACCACGAGGGTGCCGGGCACGGTCTGCGGGCTTCGTGTGCCCGGGGACAGAGTCCTGTCCACTTTCCTGGGCTCGCCGCTATTCCGTAACCACTTCGCGGGGGGCTCCTTGTCCTGGGTGTAGGTTTTGTCCCTTGTTGCAAATACCTCTTTCCAGGCTGTGGCTTGTCCCCTTTGGGACCCGGGGCTCGGCCGCTGATTCACTGAACAAATCCCTACCCGACACTTGGGCCGGGAGCCACCTGGGGCGGGACAGGTGTCCCCAGCCCAGGGTCTACCAAGTGCAGATGAGGCACCGGGGGCCAACCCAGGTGTGGGGACGGGGGCCAGGGGTCTTCAGCGAGGGGCAAGACTGCACATGGGAGGGCGTCAGGAAGGAGGAGGGCGTGGGGGGGCGTCAGGGAGTGGGGGGGGCATCAGGCAGGGGGAGCACAGATTTTTGCCGGGGAGCGGGTGGTGACAGCGTGTGCGTGGCGTGTCAGGCCCAGCAGCCCCCACCCAGCAGCGGCCTCCAGGGAGGAGGACTCGTGTCTCCGGCCCGACCACGGAGCTCGGACGCAGGCCCGTGTGCTCAGTCTGGGCAGCGGCACCGGGACGCCGAGGCCTCAGCTGCCCACCCAGAGTTGCCCCCAGCTGCGGCCAGAGATGGCCAGCGGCCAGGGGTGTCGGGTGGGGACAGCCGGGCCCCAGCCTTGGCGCTGCGTCAGCCCACCCCCCAGGAGGGGAAGGGTCCCTGGGCATGCAGGCCGCTCCCACCTGCCAGGCGCTGGGGGCCCACGTACCCGCCGTGTGCTCACCGTCCTCCAGGACGGGAGGAGGACAGGTGGACAACGGGGTCGGGGCCGGGAGGTGATGCTCTGGGGCACAGACCAGGGGTTGGAACCCGGCCGGGCCTGAGCAGATGGCTCCCAGAGGCCACGGCCCGCCTGCGCCCTCGCAGCCCAGACCCCACACACTGGGCAGCCCTCCCCTTGCCTCCAGCCCCGCCAGCGGCCCTTCCGCCCTGGGCCATGTGGGGACACTGAGGGGCCGCAGGCTGCAGGCAGGGCTCTCAGGAGCTCGACTTTTGCCAAAAGCACCCACACCTCGACCCCAGGTCCCGCCCGGTCCTGGTGCCAGAGCTCAGTCCCCACAGGCTAGGACCAAAGCCAGGGCCCTGGGTCCTGTCTGCAAGGGGAGGGTGGGTTTGTGGGAGAGAAGGCAGGAAAACAGCCAGGCCGGGGCCATGTAAACGCCTCCCAATGCAGGCACAGGCCCCAGTGACTTTGCGTGAACACCGACATGGGGAAACCATCTCTTCTCAAAACCAGGGTGAGGAGAAAGCGATGGGAACACACTCGAGGGCAGAGGTAAAGCCGCACCCCTGCTCCCAAGGTCACAACGGCCCAAAGCAGCAGACGGAAATCGGCATCCCGGCACCGACGACACCGAGCACCCGCGGAGTGAACGCCGCCCCTGGAGCGGAGAGCAGGGGTGCGGCCGGCCTGGGGGCGAGGAGGTGGCCCGGCAACGCCCAGGGAGGTGAACCCTGTCCAACAGGGACCCCCGGGATCTCGGGCGAGTGGGGCGGCCAGGAGGGCAGCGGGGATGGCGGAGAGGCACACCTCCACCGGCAACTACCGTGGATTTCAATAAAGCAATTCCTTTGCACTTGAGTTCTGTCCAGAAAAACCCTTTGGCCGCACAAAAATATTAGAGATTTCACTACTGAACCTTGATATAATTGAAAATATACATGCAGGCGTATAAACCTTTACAATGTCATATGTTTTTTCACCTGCGTGATACACGTCACGCTCTACAAGTGGTGACCGCACCCTCTTTTCCAGCACCCATGCGCTGCTTGAAAATGTCCACGTATTAGGCTAAAACAGACATCTCGATAAATTCTATAAAGTCACTTTTATATAAATGAGATCATACGGAATGGTATTTCATTTCTTGTTTCTTTTCTCAAGGTCGTGTTTTTAATCCATAAACTTTATTTTGTGAGCAGTCTCGGGTTTGCTGCAAAATTGAACCGAATGTGCAGAGACTTCGCAGGCGCCCCCGCCCCCACGCACGCACAGCTGCAACCCCCCGACTCCTGCGGGACACGATTCCCCAGACCCAGACCCACGGTAACACCTCACAGCCACCCCACACCCTCCGTTCACGGCCGGCTCACTCCTGGTGTTGTGCACTTCGTGGGTTCGCGCAAATGTGTGGCGGCGTGGATCCATCCAGAGGGCATCACGCGGAGGAGTGTCGCTGCCCTACAGGAATCCTCGATGCTCCGCTGGCTCATCCCTCCTCCTTCCCCAGCCCCTAGTAACCACGGTCTCTGTAACCTCGCCCTTCCCAGGAGGTCAGAGCTGGAATCTCACGGTGTGTGGCCTTTTCAGGTTTACATCTTTCACTGAGTAAGACGCGTCCCCCTCCTCCCACCCTGTCTTTCCATGGCCTCTTTTTCGTGCTGAGCGATATCCCACAGTCCCAATGAGCTGCGGCTCATATACCCGTTCACCTGCTGCAGGCTGTGTGGACGGCTTCCCCGTGTGGGCAGTGCAGGTGAAGCTGCTGTGGACACCGGTGCACAGGGACGACCTAAGTGGGGTGGGTTTATTTTTTAAGATTTTATTTATTTATTTATTTGAGAGAGAGAGAGAGAGAGAACTAGCAGGAAGAAGGGCAGAGGGAGAGGAAGAGACAGGCTTCCCGCGGAGCAGGGAGCCCGATGGGGGCTCGACCCCAGGACAGAGCTTGCAGGTGCTGGTCGAGGTCGGTGACATGGCTCCCTATGCGAGGGTCATTGAGAGGAGGCAGGGAGGGGCCCGGTAAGCCGTCCGTGTCCTGGTCTGGATGGCGGATTCTGTGTGTGGTCGCTCCTTTAAATGCACCAAAGCTGTGCGTTTACAATTTGTGAGCTCTTTCCATGCCTACGTTATTCTTCGGTGGAAAGGTTACTAAAGAAAGGGTGGGGGGGGGGGAACCTGCCCTGGAAAGGTGTGTGTGAGCTCTGAGGCTGAGGGATCTGTGGCCACCGCCAGCCCCGCTGTGTCCCACGGCGGAGGTGATTTGCTGCCAGGAGGGACGGGCTCTCCACCTGCCCGGGCGCTGCTCGCCTCTGCTCCAGCGTTTGCCAGCTTCCTGGGCCATCCTCACGGATAAGATGGGTAAAGCCTTGCAAGATTTCTCACATGCTGCTCTGAGCTCTTAAAATCCACAGTTTGGGGTCCCCGGGGGGGCTCTGTGGGTGAGTGTCTGCCTTTGGCCCAGGGCGTGATGCCGGGGTCCTGGGATCAAGTCCTGCATCGGGCTCCCCGCAGGGAGCTCCTTCTCCCTCTCTCTCCATGTCTGATGGATAAATAAATAAAATCTTAAAACAATAAAATCCACAGTGTACATGCCCCATCCAGTTCGATACTGAAGCCAACTTTGCCCTCCAGCGGCACTGCCCACACCGCAGGGGAAGTGCGCTCCCAGGCACCGTCTCCGTGCCGCGCCGCCAGCCCAGATGCCCACAGAGGAGCCGGCCACGGGCTGGGCCCAGGGCAGAAGGGCGGCCGCTAAGCGGGTGGGCCCCGGCCCCAGCCCCAGCCCTGGCCGTCCCCAGGGCCCCGAAGCAGCCTGTCCATGTGGCCGGCCAGCAAGCCGGTGTCTGGGAGGGCCTCGGTGGCCGGGAACGGGACTCACTGGGAAAGCGTCAGTCAAGGAGCCTTGGAGGCAAGGGTGCCGGGAGCCTAGTCCCGGAGAAGGCCCAGGAGATTCAGACGAGCTCCCGCTCCCGCCCCTGCGGCCTGCACTAAACACGCTGTCTTCTTGTTCCTTTTCCTTTCATGTTTTCCCTCCCCTGCTACCTACGGCTGCCTGAGGACAGAGCCTATCCAGTCACCACTGGATCCCCCGGACCCAGCCCCCCACCCCGTGCTCATGGGACAGAGTGATCACACCCGGCTGTGCTGGGGGTCCTCCAGGGGGCTAGAGAGCTCCCCGGATGAGCCAGCACCGGGTCAGGCCGCCCCACCCTGGCACATCCTTTGCAAATGCTCTGGCCCCAGAGTGGGGCCCAGTTGTCCGGGGTGTGGGCGCTGAGTCCCTGCTGGAAGCAGGTGGGTCCCATCCGGGGCTGCTCCTAATCAAGGTTCCCAACACCCACTGCACGTGGAGCCCACGTGGGCCCAGGCCCCTTCTTCCCTAGGTGACATCTGTCCACACCACAGGACCTGCAGTACTAGAGGGGTGAGGTGGCCGTTGTTCCGGGGAACCCCGAATCTACCCTAAGGTGCAGTAAATCCATGCAAGGGGCGGTGCGCTGGGAAATGCTCAGCGACCGATGCTCAGAAGGGCCAGGACCAACTGTAGTGCTCGCTCCTTCCCACGGCGCCAACGCAGCTGACTTCAGGTCACTACCCGCCTTAGGTCCCCGGACGGACGTGGGCTGGCTCCACGCGCTGGAAGCTCATGCTGATTTGAGTGGACTGTGACCAGCCATGTATGACTTGTGGCACATCCCACCCCTGGCCTTGACCCACCCACTGGCTCCACCCAGGGAAAGGCTGGTCCTACCTTCCACAGCTGCATGGCTCAGGTCCTCTCCTGGCCTCTCCTCCAATGTGCACTTCACCAAGCGCCACAGGATCCAACCCACAAGCACTCCCTGCTTTACGAGACGTCCAGGACCTGGGCCGGGCTGAATGCGCTGGGTCCTGAGCTGGGCTGTGTCCTGAGCTGGGTCCTGAGCTAGGCCCTCGGCTGGGCTAGGCCCTGAGCTGGGTGCTGGGCTGGGCCCTGAGCTGGGTCCGGGGCTGGGTGCTGGGCTGGGCCCTGAGCTGGGTCCTGGGCTGAGCTGGGTGCTGGGTTGGGCCCTGAGCTGGGCCTGGGCTGGGTCCTTGCTGGGCCCTGAGCTGGGGCCTGGGCTGGGTCCTTGCTGGGCCTTAAGCTGGGGCCTGGGCTGAGCCTGGGCTGGGTCCTTGCTGGGCCCTGAGCTGAGCTGGGCTAGGTCCGATGCTGAGCTTATGGGCTGGTAAGTGTGAAGGCCCAGACCGGCGTAGAGGAGACTCGGGTGCCACAGCCTCCCTTGCTCTGGCTCTGGAGGCTGGTATGGGACTGAAGCAGAGATGGCCTTGGGGCTGAGGAGAGCGTGGGGACTGCAGGGCCCCGGTGAGCACCCACAGGCGTGTGCTCGCAGCAGCAGCAGGCCCCAGCTGCAGGGGGCCCGGGGTGGGCTTAGGATGGGGCGGCACCACGTTGCTCCCTCGGGTGCTGCGGGAGACAAGGGCAGCCCAGAGGCAAAGGGAGCAGGAGACAGAGCCCAGGTCTGATGGGAGAAGCACCAGAGGGGCTCTTGGAAGAATCTAGCACACGTTGCACGTGCTCACGGCCAGAAGCCCCACACAAGGCCGGTGTGGGAGCATCGCGTGTACGTGAAACGTCCAGGGCAGACAAACGTCGAGACAGACCGAGGACTGGTGTCGGGGGGCCGGGCGGGGGCAGGAGTGGCTGCCGTCAGTGGGCGGGTCCTCCGGGTGACGCAGGCCTCCTGGAATCACGCAGTGGTGAAGGTCCCACGACTGCCCTGAGAGCCGCCGGGCTGCGCACTGGCCGTGAGTGAATCCTGTCCCAACGCGCTGGGACTTAACGCCAGCCCCGGCGGCGCCTCCCACCCGCTCCCCTGCCGCCCCCGAGGGTCCCTGCCCGCCCGCCGCTCCTGGGCAGACTGGGAGAGCCGCGCCTGCAAACACCAGGATCGTGGCCCACGTCCCGCGCGGGTCGTCTCCCCGGGAGGCATCTCGTCCCGTCACCCAACCACCTCCTTCCTCCTCTGCGGTCTCGGGGCAGGAGCCCTGCCCGTGGGAGTCGGGGCCGCGCCTCGCCCGTAACAAAGCCCTCGGGCTTCCGTGCGCCTCCGCCTCCCTTAGAGCCCCAGGGACCCCAAGTCGCAGGTAAACGTAAGCTGGCGTTCCAACCCTGTGGGAAGCACCACGGCACCCCCGGGCAATGACACAATCCCAAAGTCACCAGCCTGTGCGCTTTGAGGTGCGTGAATCACAGGGACTTGAAAACAGTCGAGTCATGCGCTCCCCAAGGCCGAGCCATAAACCTGACAATCCCTGAGTCATCTCCAGCTGCTGAGTCACGGCGTCCCCGGCCCGGAGCCCCAGCGCTGGAAGGGCCCCAGAAGTCTCCGCTGGAGAAAGCCTGTCCAGAGAAGTCTGACCTGGAGCGACCCCCCACCCCGCCCCCCACCGCTGGCTGCCGTCCATCCTCCCAGGAGGGCCCTGAGGGCCACCTCTTGACAAGTGGTCGCCGGGCTCCTCTGCAGCCACTGGGCCCTGGGCACTGTGCCCATTTCGGTGGGACGCGGGCCCCTTCCACGAGTGCTTGTTTTTGTTTTTTTTTTTTTAAGATTTTATGTATTTATTCATGAGAGACACACAGAGAGCAGCAGAGACACAGGCGGAGGGAGAAGCAGGCTCCCTGCGGGGACCCTGACCTGGGACTCGATCCCGGGACCCTGGGGTCACGCCCTGGGCTGAAAGCAGATGCTCCACCCCTGAGCCCCCCAGGCGTCCCCCACGAGTGCTTCTGGCACCTGCCGGCTGCCGACGTCACCTTCGCCCCCTCGCCCGGCCCCCAGCAGGTCCCCCGTGGCAGCTAGAACTGCAGGCCTCCCACCGGCCCAACCGCAGGGGCCCGGCCCCTCTGCCCAGACAACCCCCTCCCGGCCCGGTGGGCACGCACACGGGAAGGGGCGGTGGCCGAGGGAGCGCTGGCGGGGACCACAGAGCTGGGACTTGGAAGCAAGTGTCCCGCAGGCCAGCTCAGCCCGAGGGAGGCGTCCAGAAGGGTGGGAGTGACCGAGCCTCCAACAAGCAATGTGGGCGCTCATCAAGCCCTGGGCACGGGGAAGGCAGGCCCCTTGGGGCCCGTTGGGGGGCTTGTCGGGAGACCAGGTGCGGGACAGCCCGCTGCACTTGGGGAGACGCGTTTGGCTGCGGCACGGAGAGACCCCAGGGCGGGGAGCGCCGGAGGTCAGCGGCCTGCGGAAGGTGGGAGCTGCGTCCGGATGGGAGGAGGGCTCCACTGGGTCGGGGACCCGCAGCACCAGCACCTGGGCAGAGACCCCAGAAGCCACCAGACAGATGTGTGGGCGGGAGGGACACGGGGTCCCCCTGGAGGCCACGGGGGCGGGGTGGGCCTGCCCAAGACAGGGGGCCCCATGCGTCCCAGGGGCAGGAGGCTGGGAGGCCTCAGTGTGGCTGGACGGGATCCTCAGGAGGAGCCCCCCAGGCCTCGAGGAGCGAACGGCCCCCATGTCCCCGGAGCCTGGACACAGGAGGAAGGAGCCCTCGGGCCAGGAACATCGTGCTCGGGGAGACAAGTCGGGGAAGGCGAAGCAAGTCCACCCCAGGGTCCTGGACGGGCTTGAGCCTCTGGGCGACGCTCCGGAGCCTCCTGTCCGCCCGCGGCCGTCCCGGGGAGCGCACAGAGCGCCCAGGTGTTTGCTCATGGCCCCCCCGGATCAGGGGCCGCAGGACCCGGGCATCAGGACAGAGGCCCCCAGAGTGCCGTCGACACAACTAGAAACTGCCGCAGGAGGAGCCAACACGGCGACGTCCCGTCGCACGGCCTCTGTCCTTAACATCAGGAGCTGGGGCCCGGCGGCCAGGGCTGTGGCACGGGGCCCCCGCCGGACCCAGGACCGGCACTGGGACTTCCAGAGTGTCCGGCGGGCCCCAGAATCCACAGCGGGACCGAGGGGCTGCAGAGCTGGGGCTGCATTTCTCCCCCAGACACCGGCTTCTGCAGCCACGGAGACTGGGAGCTGCCCCCCGAGGGACCCCCACCCGGTGTGGGGCCTTCTGAGCCTTGGCACCACCTTGGGGACCCGCCGCGAGATCATGCCATCCAGTCTCACACGGTGCTGGGCAGCACCCGGGGCGCCGGCCCCCTGGGGACTCGGGCAGTGGGCAGGCTGTGAGGGCGGCACAGACCCCAGGGTTCGGAGCCGCTGAGCCCCCAAGGCAGGGGACTGCATGTGCTGCCCGGGCCCCCTCCAGGAGCAGCGGTGGCAGGGATGTCGAGGGGGAAGGGAAGGCCCCTCTGCTCAGCCCCAGGCCCGGGGCCCCCACAGAGGGCACTGGGGGCTCCGCAGGCCGCCCCTCCCAGCAGGGCGGTGCCCCTGAGAGAGGCACAGCTGCTCCCCGCAGCCCCATCCCTGTCCCCACCCACCCATGCCTGTCCTGGAGGCCACGGAACCCGCAGAGGACCCGGGCAGCCCCCCACACACCGCGCCCCCTCCCCCGCCCTCCCCCACGCCCCCTCCCCTCCCCTCTGCTCCCACCAGGCCGCCTCCCATCTCCCTCCAGCCAAGGCCCTGGATTCCAGCACCTTGACCCCATCTGCTCCTGGCGGGGGGCTCACACCCTTCAAAGCAGGATTCCGGGGGAGGGTGTGGACCGCGAGGCACCCGGGTCCCAGGGCTGGGCACGCAGAATGCACCTGCTCCCCGGGGGGCTCCCCCTCCAGTAGCTGGGCCGGGGGCGGGCTGCCTGTGGGGAAGGAGCATTCGAAGGCCATAACCCAGGGACTGGGGCAGGCGAGGGTGGGGAGCCCCGGCCCCAGGGACCAGCAGGCGCGGCCACAGAGCAGGGTGGGTGCAGCACCCTGCAGGCGGCAGGAACTGGACGCCAGGGGATCTGGGCCCCGACACCTCCATCGATCTCGCCCACAGAGCTCCCCCCCCCCAGCCTCAGGCCCTTTCATCTGCCTCCCACGCCAGTCCCGGCCAACCTTCCCAGCTGCACAGCCGCCACGCCCGCTCTCCCCCCGACCCCCGCGCCCCGGCCCCTCACCACGCCCCTGCCTCTCCCACAGCTCCCCCTGCCGCAGGCCTCGCACCGGGCTCCCGCCGCCCATATGCTGACCTCGGGATTCCGGCCGGGGCCTGGGACGCAGTGTGCCCCCGGGGAGCCACTCATCCCCATGAAGCAGGGGTCCAGGGAATGGCGTGGACCCCCAGCCTCCCTCTAGTGGCCTTGGGACCTTCTCTCTGCCCTCGACTACCCTGAGGTCACACACCTACCAGGGCCTGGGGAGCAGGCGGTGACAGTGAATTCTCAATCTGTGAGCTGGATTTCTGTCATTCCAGCAAGATCCTTTGTCCTGACCACGCAGAGGCCAGCCCAGCAGACACAGGGCTGTACAGGACGGGGGCCCACCCAGGCCCGCACCCACAGGCAAGGTGGGGGTGCCACTGCCCTCACGAGGCCTGAGGCCAAATGTGCCGAGACTCTGGGCTGTGGGTTGGCGGCGAGTTCACAGACACGGGGAGTTGGATTTCATCCTGAAGCAACAGGGGGCATGGGGGGGTCCTCAGTGGGGTCCGACGATCAAGTCCCGGGGTATGGAAACTGGTCGGAGACGACGCACAAACACGCCTGCCCTGGGCGTCAGCACCCACGCAGCCAGCCTGGGCTCTGGGGGTCCTAGAACTTGCTGTCTCCCCAGGACTCAGGACCCCTGCCCCGGCCCCACCCCAGGAAATGAGCAGAGCACACCCCACCCAGCTGAATGGTGGGGCCCTCCCCCGGGGCTCCAAGAGCAGGGTGGGGCCTCTGGCCTTTGGACACCCCGTGCTCGGCCTCGTCACCCAGAGCCTCCCAGGATCTCAGGGGAGAGCGGGGTGTGGCTCCAGGCCCCCCACCCTGGGCCATGCAGGCGGCCCCCCCACCCCAAGTCCTGCAGCTCTGGAGGCAGCGCTGCCCCAGGAATGAGCACTCCCAGGGCCCAGCACGGAGGGAGGCGGTCGGCCGGGGCTCAGGCTGGGCGCCCCCTGCCCCCCAGGGCTGTCCCCAACCTCCAGGACGGGTGCCCCCACTCCGCAGGCGCCCCCACCCCAAGGGGCCCCTCCAGGGAACGCTGAGGTGGGGTGAGGCATCCCCTGGAACTCCCGCAGGTCGGGGCAGGGCCGCAGGCCTGCGCTGGGGGCAGATTTCGGTTAGAAGTGGGTTTTCTGTGTCGTTTCTCCGTCTGCTGCGTCTCCCGCCCGCCCAGGGAGCTGAGACCTTCCACCGGGTCCTCCCTCCTACCCACCGGCCCACCTGCCCACCTGCGCGGCCACCTGCCTCTGCGAGCGGCTCCGGGGGGCGGGGCCGGGGCGGGGCCGGGCGGAGGGGCGGGGCCGGGAGAGGCCAATCAGGGCCGGTCGAGGTCCCGCAGACCCAGCCTGCGAGGAAGGGCCCCGCCCCCTGCCCTGGGGCGCCCCCTCCCCGCCCCCCCCCCTCCCCAACACCTTCCACTTCCCAGCCCTCCCAGCCCTCCCAGCCCTGAGGGTCCTACCTACCTGGAGGGTGCCCCCCCCCGCCCCCCCTCCCGTGACCCTCGGTGACCTGCGGAGCCAGGCAAGGCCAGGTGGCTGAGCTGCGGGAGAACTGGGGGCAGCCCCTCCCCACCGCCGCTCTGGAAAGGTCTGTTCCTTAACGGAGGCCCCAGCAAGTGTCCCAGGGCCAGCAAAGCCTTCCCCGCCTCTCCCCGGGGTCGCCAGGAAAGGGACAGGGCCTGGGGAGACGCAGCCAGAAGGCCCCGGGGGGCCCCGAGAGTGGCCTCCCCCTGCAGCCAGAGTGGGGTCCCCCAGAAGGCCCGAGACGACCCCAGCCGTGCCCCCTGCGGCCCCCCTCCTGGCCGTCCTGGGTGAGGGCTCCTCGCAGGCCCCGCCAGCCCGTCCTCAGTGGCCCGAAAGGCCCACCGGCCCTCTGCCCAGGGCCTGGGCATTGTGGTCACTTCAAAGCGAGCCCGGGAAAGGCGGCCCTGGGGCGGGTCCAGCCCGGTGTCCTACATTCAGCCCCAGCTCCCAAGGAGCGTCTAAAAATAGGGTGTGACCGGCTGGATGCGGGGCCCTTGGCGCTGGGCGGCCCGGGCTTGGAAGGGAGGCCGGGAGCTCGCGTCTGTGACCCACAGAGGCCAAACCGCAGTGGGCACCCCAAACCCCGCCCCGCCTGCGTCGGGCTGCAGCCTTCCCCTGCTCTTGGCTCCAAATGTCCCAAAGCGTGTCCGAGTCCCCTTTACAGGGGACCCAAGTACAGAGACGTGAACAGACGCACCTGCGGGGCCGCGGGGGCAGTGGGCACTGCGGGCAGGTGCCTGGCATTGGGGGGCGAGAGAAGGGGGACTAGGGGCCTGGGGGGGCAAGACGGCAGGCCCCGCCTCCATCATGGTGACCCCCATCCCCCGACCCCGCAACCCAGGAGGCCTGGGACAAGCAGGCACAGCCACCACCCCTCCACTGTGTCCTAGTGTCCACCTGCCGGGCTTCCTGCCCGGAAGTTCACGTCTTCGCCAGTCCCCAGGGGACTCGGGGGCCCTTCCTCCTGCCAGCGCCCCCTCACCTGCGGATCCAGAGGGAAGGGGTTCCGGGGAGCATGTGGGGAGAAGCCAGGGTCAGCACTCGGGTCCTGGCACCAGCCTCCTTCCCGATGCCCACCCAGGACAGGGGGGGCAACAGGAGGCCGGGTCCTGGCTGCAGGGTAGGGGGGTCAGGTCAGGACGCGGCTGTGCCCAGCGGCCCCTCCCAGGGCTGGGGGCTGGGGGCTGGGGGCTGGGCCGACGGGCGGTCAGCCATGGGCAGAGGGGGCAGGCAGGGGTGTAGCGAGGGCGTGGCCTGCCGGCGGGCCAGCTGCTGTCACCCTGCTTGTCGCGCAGCCACTGAATCATGCGGGGCGGCCACTCCACCTCTCTGAACCTCATCCGTGGATGCAGCCGACCAGGCCCGCTGGCCCTCAGGATCTCCCAGGGGGGAGATCCATGCAAAGGCCCCGTCCCCCACCAGCCACCAGGGCCTCCCCCACGCCCCTCCCAGGCCGGCCACACCGACTCCGATCGCTTGCACAGGACGCACTCTTTCCCCAGGCTCCCTGCAGCTCTCGGGACCCATCGGAGGGAAGCAGAAGCCGCGCTCTAGGGCTTAGGGCAGCTCCCGAGAGCAGGCCAGGTCAGCTCAGAGCGTCCCCACCGCCCTGGGCCTGTCCCCTTCCTCCAACCTGGAATGCAGACATGAAGGAGGGAGCCCTGGCAGCTGTCTTTAACCATGAGGCAGCCATGAGCATGCTGTGCCGAGCACCGTGGAGGAGCAGAGAAGAGGAGCCCAGGTCACTGATGAGACCTTGGAGCCGACACGTGGCCCCCCAACTTCTGCTGAAGGGAACCAGCCCCGCATATTTCAAGCCCAGCAAGTCGGGCTCAGTCCCTGGCTGTCCCGGTGGGGCTGCATCTGCTGAGAAGCGCTGACCCAAGGCCAGGCACTCGCCCCCACTTTCCACTTGTGCGTGTCTGTCATCCACGTGCCACAGGCAGCCTAGAAAGTGGATCCCGCCAACCTCTGTCCAGTGAGGAGAATGAGGTCAAGGAGGGTCAGCCACCTGCCCGAGAGCCACGGCCGGGAGGGGCGCCAGGGTGAACCCAGTCCGAGGACCCCGGGCGCCCCCCTGGCCAAAGGCCCCCACACGTGAGAGTCAGCAAGGTGCTGCGCCCGACAGCGTGAGGAACGTGTGCGGCCTGGTGCCGGGGTCGGGGGCGGGGGGGGGGGCTCGCCTCTGCAGGGCGGGGTGGGGCGGGGGCTGGAGGCCTGTGACGCGGGACCCCAGCTGCAGAGGCCCGGCTCCCAAACCCCCGTCTGCACGCTGAGCGCACCTGGTATCCACGCGGTGCTCCCCACACACTCACCCGCCCTTGCGGGGCTTCAGCCCGTGGTGGGGACAGGTGGACACGCCTCGCCACGTGCGGGTCACACCTCCCTTTTCTGGTTATAAATAAAACACCGGAAGGGGCGCCTGGGTGGCTCGGTCGGTTAAGTGTCCGACTCTTGGTTTTGGCTTACCTCGTGACCTCACCTCAGGGTCGTGAGATCGAGTCCCGCGTCAGGCTCCGCACTCAGCGGGCGGGGGGTGAGGGGGTCTGCTTGGAGATTCCCTCTCCCTCTCCCTCTGCATCTCCCCCTGCTCTTTCTCTCTCTCTCTCTCTCTCTAAAATAAATAAATACATCCTTTTTTAAAAAAAAAGAAAATTTAGAAATTGCAAAAAAGAAGTCTAAAGGCAGACATGACCGTCAGTACGGCTGGGAGTATCCGTGACGTCTCTAGTTCACGAGGAATCTGCAGCATCTTCCCCGCGGAAGGCCGGGCACCCTCCCCGCGCGGGCCCCTGGTACGAGTCAGGCTGTGTGGCCCCGGGCGCGGTGGCTCACCCGGGGGGGCAGTCCCATCAGGCGAGGCCAGGAGGGCAGCAGCCCGAGCCCCGGCCCAGGCCCCTGCCCGTCTGGCCCAGCCCCTCCTCTGAGGGTTCAAGATCAAAGAACTGAAGTGTGTGAACTGGAGGGGGAGCCTGGGGCGGGGAGGCAGTGGGAGGCCCTGCCCGGCTCCCTGCAGCTGCTGCACCCACGCCCCTGCCCTCGGGCCCCACGGCCCAGCAGGTGGGGCTGTCCTGCCTGCCCAGACAGGGCCGAGGCCTGGACCCAGACGCACACATCAAAGGAGCCAGGCCCGGGCAGAGGCAGGCAGGCTGCTGTGGGCGGGCGGCCCCCTCCTTCCCCCTCCTTCCCCCTCCTTCGAAGCTGTGCCTGCTGCTGAAGCGCCTGCCCCAAGAGGGGGTGGCCTGCCCCCCGGAGCCCCCCTCCCTGGCTCCACACCCTGGGCAGAGCCCTGCCTGGGCCCAGAGGAGGCACCCGGACCCTTTCTTGGGGGCGGGGGGCGGGGGTGGCCGGCCTGGCTGCTGGACACGCTCTCAGGAGCCCACTCGAGTCCAAAAGCACCTGCTGTGGGAGTGGCCGGGGGTGGGGACCGTGCACCTGCTTCGGAGGTGGCCTGTGCGTGCAGACGTGAAAGCACAGACCTGGCCGGGCTGGGGTCACACACACGGACAGACTGCAGCCCCCGAGGCTGACTGAGAGCCCTGCCCACGGCCCCTCCCCGTGTAGACGGGACCTGACGCTGGGCCGGGTATGCGGGGTGGCGGGGGGGTGGGGGAGTCCCTTAGCCTCTGGCTGACTCTGCCTAGACCAGGGCCATCCCCTGCAATCTGGATGTCCCGTGTCGCCCCCGGCAGGCAGGACAGAGGCTCCCCTGGCGGCTCGGGATCGGGGGGACACTGGAGGGGCAGCCCGCAGCCCGGCCCCGAAACCCCAGCCCCGAGCCCCCCAGGGGCCCCGGCCAGCAACCAAGCGTACACTCGCCATTGGCCCAGAGCGTCCCCAGTAGACAGCAGCACACGTGTCCCCTGCAGGGGTGAGGGTGTCCTCAGCCGCGGTACTGGTGACAGCCCCTGGCCACAGAATCACGCCCCCGACACGCCCACACCATGCGCCCCAGAACCTGCAACAGAGCCCCTCACGCAGGGGGACCAGGTGGAGGATCCCGAGGTGGGTGATCACCCTGGGCTTCCTGGGGGCGCGTCACCCACCACCTGGGTCCTCGCAAGAGGGAGGCCGGGGGCCGGCGAGGCAGAGGGGAGCAGGGCCACGAGGTGCAGGGCCTCCAGGGGTGGGGAGGCGGGGGGAGGGGGCCCCTTGGAGCGCCTGGAAGGAGCCCGCCCGGCTGACCGCTGGCGCTGGGGTGCCCGACCTCCGGAGTCGAGGGAACGAACCCACATTAAGCCATTGATCCGGGGCTGGCTTACCCGGGCGCCCTCGGCTGCAATGGAGCCCCCGCCGGGTGCCGCGGAGGAGACACGGGTGAGCACCGCCCGCCGGCGCCCGCCTCTCCGGGGCCGGGCACCACGGCCCGGGAAGGGGCCCCGTTGCGTTCTGGGGGCAGGTTTCAGGGGCGCGCCCTGCACAGGTGCTCACTCACCCCGCGGGACGCGCCGCCCCTGCCCCTCTGCGGCTGCAGTTCACACTGTAGTGAAAACGAGGGAGATGCGGGGAGGCCAGGGAGGGCGGCGGGCGGGAAGCCGCGGAGGGGGCAGCAGGGCTCCTGACCACCCGCTTGAAGTTGGGGCACCGGCAGGCAGCGGGGAGACCCGAGGGCGGACACGGGATCGCCCCCTGCGTGTCCACCAACCAGCTCCACGTAGCCCCCCGGGGACGGCGGGGGTCCCCAGCTCCCTCCCAGAGGCCACCCCCGGCCCAGGCACTTAACCATGGCCGGGAGCGGGTGGGGGCCCCTCAGAGGAGCCCAGGGCTCCGGCAGGCCCTGAAGCCCCCAAGGGCCGGGCAGGGAGGCCGAGACTGGGGAGGACGGAGTCCCCGAGGATAAGGCCCCTCCCCTCCCGGGTCCCGGTAAGGCCGGTGCCCACCTGCCAGCCGCGGGCCGCTCCCGCTCCCTCCGCCCACCACCAACGGCCGCTCACTCCAGCCCCAGGGACAGTCTGAGCCGCGTGTCCCCCAGCGTCCTTCCGGATGGTCCTGCCTGTCCCCTGCTCAGGCTGAGTCCAGGGGGCTGGACCCCAGGTCCCGGGCTCAGGACGCTGCTGTCTGGCACAGGGGAGCCGGCCTCGAGGCACGGGAGCCTTTCCGCCCAGCGAGGAGCCTCTGTCCAGGTGCAGGGCTCCAGCCGCGCCCCCGGGTGACCTCTCCAGGTGCCTGGAGCCCGGACCCTTCCAGGGCACGCTCCCTCGGGCCCCCGCCAGCCGCGTGGACCCGAAATGATGGGTCCTGCCTGGAGCCTGCTTCTCCCTCTGCCTGTGTCTCTGCCTCTCTCTGTGTCTCTCATGAATAAATAAAAATTTAAAAAAAAAATAAAAATAAAATAGCGTAGAAACCTATAGCTCGTATAAATATAAATCGTAGGAGGACAGGACGGAGGGGATCTCAGTTAACATAGTAACAAAACTGACAAAACCCCAAGGAATGAACTTAACCAGACATACAAAAATTCGACGTGACGAACATTTTTTAAATGCATCTTTGAGTCACAGATGTCTTTTGAACGAACGAAAAGGTCCGCATGTATCTGGGTGGACAGACCCAACGTCACAGAGATGCCAATTCCCTGCAGCCTCATCTGAAACATTAATGTGATTCCAATGAAAACGCCTGGAAGACTTTATTTTTTAAAGATTTTATTCATTTATTCGTGAGACACAGAGAGAGGCAGAGACCCAGGCGGAGGGAGAAGCAGGCTCCGTGCCGGGAGCCCGACGCGGAACTCGAACCTGGGACCCCAGGGTCACACTCTGAGCCCAAGGCGGACGCTCAGCCACTGAGCCACCCAGCCACCCTCCTCCAAGATGTTTTAAATAGAAAACTAAATCCAATTAAATCAGAACATACTACGAAGCATCATAGTTACAACCGCGTGGCGCCGTCCCATGGGCAAACGGGTCCACCCTGGGACCCCGCCCGGGACAGCGACTCGGCTGGTGACGCTGGGACAGCTAGAGCTGGCCGCGGGGAGGGTTCGAGGACCTCGCCTGTGACACCAGAGAGTCAACAGTATGAGCAGAAGCGAGGAAACCGGGAACGCGGCGGGGGGGGGGGGGGCGCCCGCCTGTGCCTTGGCCTTCGCGCAGGTGACCGCGTCGGGAAGCCCTGAAATTGGGAGCGAACAACGTGGTACGTCAAGTAGTTCGGGAGACTCCGGACTCTGGGATGAAAGAAGGATCAAGGGGACCCCATGCCCGCCCCCCACGAGACAAGCCATCAAAATCGTGAGCTGGGGACGCAGGTGGGCTGAGCAACCCCCGCCCCCCACCCCCTGCAGCCCCACAGCCCCACAGGCAGCAAGGCCAGGCGCAGAGACGACTGACATTTCTACAAAGTCCCTCGGGCCCAGCAGGGGCTGGCGTGACAGTGTGGGGGCCCCGGGGGACCAGACACAGGGAGCACGCCCTTGGGGACCCCGCTCGCCCCGGGCCTGGCTGCATGGGGGGGCAACGCAGGGGGCTCGGGGGAGCCTCCAGGTAGCTCAGGCCACACAGCAGCTGGGGGCTGCGCGAGTGGGCGACCCGGACAAACCCCTGCGCCCCTGGTTCTGTGTGATGCCAGGCAGGTGTCTCTGCGGCGGCCACAAGGACCCCCCTGCATTTGGGACGTGCGGGGTGGGGGGTGCATGTAGGCCCGGCACTGGGGACCCTGGGCCGGGGCGGCAGGAGGCCCAGCATGGCCCGTCTTGTGTCTGGGGTTTAGTGAACGGGGCTGCACCTGGGTGAAGGCAATGGCTATAGGGCAGGGGGACCTCGAGGCAGGGGGACCCAGGGTCTGTGGGAACTCTCCTGCGGGTCTACAGGTCTTTCAAAAATAAAGAGTCTTTAAAAACCAAGAGGGGTGAGGAGTGGCTTACGCAGCCGTTTCCTTTGCCCATCTTCCCGCGTGGGGAGGGGGACGGCATGTGGCCCTGCACAGTCCCCTGCCGCTCGGCCATGACCTCCGCGGTAGGAACACGCAGGGACTGGTCACCACCGAGGGCGCGGGCATCTCAGCTCAGAGGGCCGGCACCCAACAGGTGCAGAGCTCCTGCGGCAGAGAGGCCCCGGGGCGCCCGCGACGGGAAGCACCCTGGCCCTGGAGCACCAAGAGCCTCCGCTCACTCCCGGGGAGAGAACTGGACAAAACTGCCCGCCCCGCGTCCACCCCGGTGAACCACCCTGTGGACGAAACGCATAGGCGAGGATCCGGGGAGGCAGGGACCGCCCGCCTTGGTGAGGGGCTGTCTTCGGTGAACCCCCCCCCCCGGGGGTACAATTTAACCCTCAGACAAAAATTACACCGTGTTTGCCGGGAAGGAGCCTTCCGCCGGCCTCCGCGCCGGAGCAATGACTGGAGGACGAGCCTGGGAGCCCCGGGGTTGCCCGGGCAGGAGGCCGCGCTCTCCGTGCAGCCCTCAGCGGCTCTGGACTCTGAGCGGGGCCGGACTTCGTGCTCAGGAACCTCAGCAAGCCGTAAGCCTTCTGGAATCGGCTGCGCTCGGCAGCAGGTGCCGCAGAGCAGGTGTCATTAATGCAGAATGAATGAATGAATGAACGTGCTCACGCGGAGGGGGAGCGCCCCCAGGCCTCTGCAGCCTGCCTCGCCCCCGCCCCCGCCCCCGCCCCCACCCCCGCCCCCGGGACAGCGGCTGCGGCCACAGGCCCTGGCGTCCAGCGGGCAGGTCCCCTGCACCAGGGAGGGGTCCCGCGGACACGTGCCGGGCCTTGGGCCACCCCGCCTGTCCCTCCCTCTCTGCTCAGCCTCATCCCCGTGTGCTCATCGGGGCAGCTGCTCCCAGCGCCGGGTGGGGCGAGGGTCCAGGTCCATAGCTGGGCCGAGCCCTGCACGACCAGGGAGGCAGAGGCACCTATCGATGGGTCCCGGGGTCCTGGAGTCCGTATGTCCCCGGGACAACGGTCAGTGTTACGTGTCCACTCGGGACGCTCTCTGGAGGGGC